TGTTTCCTTGCAGGTAACCATGGTTAACAGAGGAAAAACAAATGATTTCAAGCACCACCCTCCTTTTAAAGCTTCCAGTCTGTTATTCTAACTCAGTCGCATGACAGAGTGATCTCCACCTTGTCCTTGTCAACACTGACACCTGTGTTGAGAAAAACACTGACATGTCAGCTAGTCCTTTTGTGGAAGCAGGGTTGTATAGCCCCACCTACAGGAATAGGACACTAGGCAAAAAAAAAAAAAAAAAAAAAAAAGGACTTGGCACCTCCAATTGGTCTGGAGTCTTCCCTGGATATAAAACCCCCTCTCTGCTATAGGTCTCCAGTCCATCAGAAGCAGTGTCAAAACTAGCAGACACAGCTTTATAGAACTTCGTAAACTGTGCACAGACGAACAGGTTGCCGACTTGCAAACATGAGAAACAGATGCCTGTCGCAACGCCAAGGAGGCACTGACTGCCCTAGTGGAGTGAGCCATAACCAGAAAGGGAGGTTCCTGCCCCTTAACAGCATACACCTGAACAATCGTCTGCCAAATCCAATGAGGAATAGTGGCCGAAGATGCTGCCAGGCACTTCTTTGGACCATCCGTGAGGACGAAGAGAGTTGGACCTTCAAAACGCAGCCGTTACAGAAAAGGTACGCACGGACCACATAAAGGGAATGTAGGGCCACCTCTTTAGGGTGGTTGAAGACACAAGGAGGGAAGAACAATATCCTCAAAAGGAAAATCCAACACCACCTTTGGTAGAAAGGAAGAGGAAGGCCGCAGCACTACCTTGTTCTTGCGCAAAACCATATAAAAAGGAGTCAACTCCGTCCGAGCAGAAGTAATAGTGACAAGGAAGGCAACTTTTTGCGTAAGAGTAAGCAAGGGGATGTCCCAAATGGCCTCAAAATGGAGGCTTCTGAGAGCGGACAGCACCAAATTCAAATCCCTCGGTGACAAAGGGGAGTGTACAGGTGGGATCACACGACAAACATCCTTAATGAAAATGCAAACCAAAGAATACGCAGCTTAGGGCCACTGAAAGAAAACAGCCAGAGCAGAGACTTGGCCTTTGATCGTACTCCATGTGAGCCTCTGACCCACACCACGTTGGAGGAAGGCCAACATCCGAGCCAGAACGAAGGAGCGAGAAAGGAACCACAAAGCTTCACACCAACCAATATAGGCTCTCCAAGTGCGATGATAAATGTTCCGGGAGTGTAGACTAAAAGGCTTTCAACACAGTCGGAATCGCCGAGCCATACAACAACCTGTCCTTCAGAACCTGTCTCTCAATAGCCAAGCCATTAAAGCCAGCAACGGAACAGCATGGTGGAATACCTGCCCTTGAGACAGGTCTTTCCGAAGAGGCAGCCTCCACCACTAATCGCACCATGTCGGTGTACCACGGACGAGGCCAGTCCGATGCAATGAGGATGACTGGGATCACTTCAGCCTTTATCCTGCATAGCAAACAAGGAATCAGTAGGGGGGTTGGGAAGGCGTAGATGAGTGTACCGATCCCACACAGCCACCAGCAAATCCATTGCCTCCAACAGGGGATCCAACGATGGTGTAACGAACCGTGGAACGTTCCAGATGTAGGGACCACTCGCCCTGATCCAGTGTCTGATGGCGGAGATATTCAGCTTGCCAGTTTGATGCCTGGAATGTGTACAGCAGTCAGAGCCAGAACAAACCTCTCTTCCCATTGCAGAATGGGAGATGCCTCCAGCACCGCTGCTGCACTTCTCGTGCCCCCCAGATGATTGACATACACCACCGCAGTGGCATTGTCTGACCAAATCCTAGTCAGCAGACCAGACAGACCATCCATCCAATGTGTCAGCAACAACCTGATCATCCGAAACTCCAGGATATTGATGTCTAAGTGGGCGTCCCGCAGAGTCCAGCAACCCTGAGCAGAGTCCGATCCCAGGACTCCTCCCCAGTCCTACATGCTGACATCGGTCTTGACCACAGTCCAGTGAACGGAGAGGAAGGACTTTACCTTCTGAAGCCGGGGACCTCATTCACCAAAGAAGGGAGGCCCTCGTCAGTTCCAGGTGAATCCGAAGGTCCAAGGAGGCGGACGCCCTGTTCCATTTTGACAGGATTTCCTTCTGCAGTGTTCTTGTATGAAACTAGGCATACGGAACAGCTTCGAAGGTAGCCACCATCAAGCCTAACAGCCGCATGCAAAAAAGCAGAGGGCTGCCTGCAAGCCAAGAGTTGCCGAACCGCCGACTGGAGCTTCAAAGATTTCTCTGATGGAAGGAACACCATGGCCTGCTCCGAATTGAGAATAAGCCTCAGGTACTCAAGGCACCTGGGTGGAGTCAACACCGACTTACTGAGGTTCAGGATCCACCTTAAGTCCTGTAGAGGGCACATGGTGACCTCCACACTGTCTAGTAACGAGGAGCGGAGTCTCTGCAATTCGCCGTTGTCACAATAAGGCCAGGACCGGGGCTAGGACCTTGGTAAACACCCGGGATGTGGAGGCCAGATTAAAAAGGCAACACCATGAATTGATATTGTGCGTCCCTGATGGCAAAGCGTAGAAAGCGCTGATGCCCCTCGCAAATGGGGATGTACAGGTAAGCATCCTTAAAGTCCAAGGAGGCCAGGAAATCTCCCTGGTGGAGGGAAGCCACCATGGAGCAAATGGATTCCATCTTGAACATGTGAACCCGCATGAAGACATTCCAGGCCTTGAGGTCCAGAATCGGGCAAACCCCGTCCTCCTCGGGAACTGTGAACAGATTGGAGTAAAAACCTCGAAAACGCTCCAAATCGAGTACTGGGACAACCACTCCACAGAGCAGCGGTTCCTGCACAGTCCCGTAGAGGGCTTGCAGGAGCTCTGGTGAAAGCCACAGATAGGAGGGGGAAAACAAAATAAAAAAAAAATCTATCCAGGAGAAGGGAATAAAACTATTTTGTATCCTGAAAGAATGATCTCGTGGACCCACTTGTCATGAATGAGAGGTCCACTGGCCCAGAAATCTGCAAAGTCACCCCTCCACTCTGGAAGCAGGTAGGGGTAAACCTTCTTGCAGATGGAGACTTATCTGCGGGCTTCTAGGGCCAGGGACACTTGATGGCACCTGCGGGGGGCCTTGAAGGGGCTGGAGCTCTTGGATGCAGAGCCGGAGGGACAAACAAAAATGCATTTATGTGCCATGAATGCTGGCCCCAACTTCCGACGAGGTTCCTTCCCATTCTTGGCCTGAGGGAGGACGGTACTCTTGCCCCAAGTAAAGTTCTTTATGTCATCCAGGGTAGAGCCAAAAAGATGGTCGCCCCGAAAGGGCAGGTCCTCCAGAGCTTTCTTAAAGATGGATAGTTTGGAGAAAAGTGGAGCTGCATCAAGGGCGGCATCACAAATGTACCCTAAAGCCCTGGACCAACACGGTGACGGGATCTGAATCATCCGAAGACAAGGGCGATGGCAGGGGGGCACTTCTTGCTCACCTTGCGGCCAACTGCCACCTAAACACAGGACACGAACGTCTTTAGGACGGCTGGCAATGCGTCTAGGGGAACTGAGGGACCAAGAACCTCCAGAGGGGGCCCTGGAGGTACAGCATAGGCTTCCATGAGAACATTGCCCCGCAGCTAGACACCGCCGCAAGAGGTCATCTGGACCCTCCTAGTCGGGAGAGGGGAGGGAGAGAGACCCCCAGGGAGGACTCACCACCACCTCCAGGAACTGCCAAGGTACCCACGGGAGGCTGTTGGCCAGAAACCTCCAAGAAAATGGCCACTGCGGCTACAATAACATGGCCGCCGGCCATCCAAGCCACATGAAGCCCACCACCATTCTTCTCCCCCCCACTGCAGGACAATGCCCCCTCTAGCCCCAGAACATAGGAGGAGAGATTTAGTTCGCACTACCAGGTTCCAGTCTGGAATATGGTTCCCAGCCTAAGCCCAAGCCTCCACTGTGGCATCCCTGCTGTCGGCCAGGGGTACACTGTAACACAGACTACAGGCGCCCAGTGACATACATGCGTCCCCACGAGGCGTTAAACTCACTGGCCACCCCAGTCCATAGGGCACAGTGGTGGCCGAGCAAGCGTGGAGCTGGCAGTCTGTACGCGCTAGTTGGGTCAGACAGGGGTGACCACTGGATCTAGGTTATCCAACCCATTGCCCAGCCCAACTGTTGATAGAAGATATCTGCAGAAACACAAAAATCCAGGAAAAAAAAAAAAAAAAAAAAAAAAAAAAAAGGAAAGGTTGTGGAATCACAAGTCCCAGAAAAAAACTTCACGTCCATACTCCTGAGACTCTAGGCAGAAAGACAGGAGACCTATAGCAGAGAGGGGTGCTTACATCCCGAGAGGACTGCCCATAGGAGGTGCCAAGTCTATTTTTCTGCCTAGTGTCCTGATCCTACTCCGTTAGTGTTAAAGAGGAAGACACTGTGTCTGTCAGTGAACGTAAGAGAAACGTTTTATTTGGAATTAAGTTCATTTTCATGGCAAAGAGGAACAGTTAATTGCAATTCATCTAATCACTCTTCATAACATTCTGGTGAATATGCAAATTGCCATCATAAAAAACTAAGGTAGCAGACTTTGTGAAAATTAATATTTGTGTCAGTCTTAATATTTGTGGCCAAAGCTGTAGATACTAACTTTCATGCAAACCAATTAATATACACTTACTGGGATTTCTTTTATCAAAGACACGTAGTAGAATACATTTAGGCCAAAAATGTATGAAGAAATTATATATTTTTTTACTGGATATATTTTATAGCAGAAATTAAAAAAATATTGATATTTATTTTTAAATATTGCATCTGTTTTTGTTTATATCGCAAACATGTTTTTAAAAAAAACCAGCGGTGATCAAATGCCATTAAAAGAAATGCTCTATTTGTGTGAAAAAAATGAAATAACTTTCGTATGCGTACAGCACTGCATGACCACATTAAAAGGTACAACAATGCTCTCCTTTTACCAAATATGCAAAAAAAGGGAGGATGAAAAATAACCTACCATTTGTCTGCAATGATCCTGCCAGCACTTATCTATTTTCTTTAGGAAAAGAACACTATCCAATGAATCTGTAAAGAATGTATTAAGGGAACACAAACGAACAAAATAGATTGCAATTTAAGAACGCCAGCAGAAACTAGATCATCTTCAAGATGTAAAATACTTTTTTTTTTTTTTTTTTTTTTTTTAATAGCGAGAGAAAAAAAAAAAAAAAAATCTGCTGCATACTTAAAGGAGTGTCAAATGCTAGCAGTAGGAATAATAATACAGTGACAAGATGATTTTAACCACTCCGCCTCTCACACCTGTTCACCCCCAAGGACCAGAGCAATTTTTACATTTCTGCTATGGACCTGTTTATTCAGTGATAACTCTGTCAATACTTAAGATAAAAACATAATACATATATTGCTTTTTTTAAAGGGCAAGGCTTTCTTTATGTGGGGTTTCTTGAAAACAATGACTTTTTCTCGCAATCCTTAAACAACTGTTAGTTTAAATAATAAACAGTGTTGTTGCATATAACAAGTGCACATTTTATTCTGTAATTTGGCCTGTTTAAAATTACACAAAGTTGTTTACAAATTAAGTAAAGTGGGGTGGTTTTTTTTCCCCATTTTCGTTTTTTTAATGTGTGAAATTTGTAAATATAGGTTAACCGCTTCCTGACTGCCCTATAGCAGAAATACTGTGTGATTTATATGAATATATGCGATTTTGCAATTCTGAGTAGGAGGCGCGCACACTACCCATGTCGCCATTCGCGGCCGTCAATCACTGGGTCCCGGCCGGTGGTTACTCGCCGGCACCCGGGGATTGCAGAGGATCTCAGACGGGGAGGATAACCGTTTGTAAACAAGACAGTTCTCCCTTTTGGCTCGTGCACACTGCTTTGGATGGCTGTGCACAGCACAACCATGCAAAGCAGTGTGATTACAGTGAAGCACAAACGCAGGACATAGCGAAACAGCACAAAGTTAACCCTTTGATCGCCCCTCATGTTAACCCCTTCCTGCCCAGTGCCATTAGTACAGTGTCAGTGCTTTTTTTTTTATTTTGCACCAATCAATGTATTGGTGTCACTGGAGATGTCAGTGATACCAAGTCAGCTCCTCCCAGTGTCAGAATGTCCACCGCAGTCCCGCTATAAGTCGCTGATCGCCGCCATTACTATTACTATTATATATATAATATATATATATATCCATATATCATATCCATCAGTCGTAGCCAACCCTCGGCGATTGCATGGGTCGTCACTCGTAAACGCCTTTTTCCATGAATTCTCTTAGCAATTATTTTAGAGGGTAGGTTGCCAGGTCTTTCCCCCAACTCCTACCATAGAATATAAAATAAATATATATATATATATATATATATATATATATATATATATATATATATATAGTATATATATACCCACCATTTGTAAACGTTATAACTTTCACATAAACCAATTACTTTAGACGTGTTGGGATTTTTTTTTTTTTTTTTTTTTTTTTTTTTAGCACAGACATGTAGCAGAAAACATTTTGGATTAAATTAGAAATTTTTTTTTTTTTTAATGGACATGTTTAACCACTTGCCCTCCGGAGGCTTTACCCTCCTTCCTGAACAGGCCATTTTTGCATGACGGCACTGCATTACTTTGACTGACAATTGTGAATTTGTGCAACGCTGCACCCAAATGAAATTTACATCTTTTTTTTTTCCCACAAATTGAGCTCTTATGGTAGTATTTGATCGCCTGTGCATTTTTTATTTTTTGCACTATTAATGAAAAAAAAAAAGACCAACAATTTTGAGGAAAAAAAAAAAAACTATTTTTGACTTTTTGCTATTAACCATTAGCCGCCCGGCCAATGGCCGTTTGGCGGCTTCAGATGTGCTTCTCCACTCCGGGTGCACGCCATTTGGCGTGCTCCCGCACATGCGCCATTTGCGCTAATGCAGAGCGGCGCAGCAGTGCGATCTGTCACCGGCCGTGCACCTGGGACACGGCCAATGACAGATCCGAGTACCGTTGCTGGTACCATGTGACCTGCTGTGACCAATCACAGCAGGTCACATGACAGTTGTATACAATGGATGGCTTCATTCATGATGCCATCCATTGTATACTAGTGAATAGCTGTGAATGGTCACAGCTAATCACATGCACATGTCATGTGATTAGCTGTGACCAAATCACAGCTAAGCACAAAAAAAAAAAAAAAAAAAAAAAAAAAAAAGCTGAATGAATCGATTTCATTTAGTCAAATGCTTGCTTATAGCAAAGTCATTCTTTGCTATAAGCAAATTGTGTAAAAAAAAAAAAATACTGATCACTTCCCCAAAGTAGTACAATGTTACTATGGTTGCATTGTACTACTTTGGTCATAGTAAAATATGAAAAAAAAAAAAATCTTAAAAAAAATAAAAAAAAAATGTAATAAAAAATTAAATAGAATAAAAAAATAAAAAAAAAATTTAAAAAAAATATATATATATATTTTTTTTTTTTTCATACTGTCACCAGTCAGTGTCCCTGTTCACCGCCATGCCAGTTATATGATGACGCTGTACTGCACTGGTGACAGTATGTAAAAAAAAAAAAAAATAGTGTAAATAATTTTTTTTAATTTTTTAATTTTTCCGAAAAAATTATGACAAAAAAATACAACTTCAAAAAACTCGCCATGCCTCTTATGAAGTACGTCGGACTGTCTACTCTGCAAAAAGGGGTCATTTGGGGATATCTGTACTATTCTGACATTCTTGGACCTCAAGAAATTATATTGGCCGTCAGTACTTCAGGATTGATCAATAATCAGATCTATACCATAGTTTGTGAACTCTATAACTTTCCTACAAACTAAAAAATACATCCTAATTTGGGTTATTTTCACCAAAGACATGTAGCAGAATACATCTCGGCCTAAGTTTATGAAGAACAATTATTTATTTGTAAACTTTTATAACAGAAACAAAGAAAAATGTGTTTTTTTTTTTTTTAAATTTTTGGTTTTTTTTTGTTAATTTAGCAAAAAATAAAAACCCCAGTGGTGATTAAATACCACCAAAAGAAAGCTCTAGTTGTGTGAAGAAAATGATAAAAATTTTAGTTTGGGTACAATGTTGTATGACCGCGCAATTGTCATTCAAAGTGTGAGAACGCTGAAACCTGAAAAATGGCCTGGGCAGGAAGGTGTAAAATTGCACGGTATTGAAACGGTTAAACAGGTCTAGTAAAAAAAATTTAAATAATAAATTAAGGCCAAAATGTATTCTACTACATCTTTGCTAAAAAAAAAAAAAAAAAAAAAATTTCAAAACGTGTAAATTAATTGGTTTACGTGAAAGTTATAGTGTTTACAAATGGCGGTATATATACACTGGGATTTTTTTTTTTTTTTTTTAATATATAGATTTTTACTAGTAATGGCGGCAATCAGTAACTTATAGTGGGACTGCGGTGGACATTCTGACACTGGGGGGAACTGACCTGGTGTCACTGACATCCCTACTGACACCAATACACTGATCAGTGCTTAAAAAAAAAAAAAAAAAAAAAAAAAAAAGCATTGACACTGTACTAATGGCACTGGGCAGGAAGGGGTTAACATGAGGGGTGATCAAAGGGTTAACTGTGTGCTGTTTCACTTTGTCTTCTGTCCGTGTGCTTCACTGTAAGCACACTGCTTTGCATGGCTGTGCACAGCCATCCAAAGAAGTGTGCACGAGCTGACAGGGAGGAGAATGATTTTGTTTACAAACCGTTATCCTCCCCGTCGGAGATCCTCGGCAATCACCAGGCGCCGGTGAGTAATCACCGGCCATAACCTGGTGATTGACAGCCGCAAATGGAAGCATGGGTAGTGTTCGCGTGCCTCCTACCCGGAAATGCGCACCCGTGCCACCCTGTAACAGAATTTCTGCTATAGGGCGGCCGGGAAGCGGTTAATAGCAAAAAGTAAAAAATACTGTTTTTTTCCACAAAATAGTTTTTTTTTTTTTTTTTATAGCGCATATAATTAAAAACCGCACAGCCAATCAAATACCACCGAAAGAAAGCTCAATTTGTGGGGGGAAAAAAAGGGAAGTAAATTTCATTTGGGTGCAGCGTTGCATGACCGCACAATTGTCAGTTAAAGTAACGCAGCACTGTAACGCAAAAAATGACCTGGTTAGGAAGGTGGGTAAATCCTCAGGGTGCAAGTGGTTAAAGGTGTAAAAATATTAACCAAAAAAAAAAAAGGTTTAAATATTAGTTAAAAGGATAAGTTCACCTTTGGGAACATGTTACATGTTTCACCAGTTTTTAGGGTGGAACGTGTTCCCAAAGCTGCAGCCCCTGCCCGATTCTCAGGGAGAAGTTCCCCATACAAGCTGTCACTATTTAAAAAACAGCTTGGCCATGCATGGCTCAGTCCACACACCTGCGTCATTCATTCACTGAGATTTGTGAATGAATGAACTACAAGTCTCACGAGCCTTAGCAGCTGATGGCTTGTAGTTCTCAATGAACTACCACGACACTGTGGAACGCCCTGGTAGTTCATTAATTATTCCAGTCAGTATATGTCAGCAGATATACTGACAGGTCTGCAGGGGCCGCGGAGGCAGAGAGTCCACAGAGCAGTGCCCCCCCCCCCCCCCCCCCCCCCCCCCACCCAGTGGTCGCCTCAGCGGTGCTCTTAGTTGCACATGGGAGTGGGATCCAAAGTGTGAAAAGTGCACATGGTCACTGTTCTAAATACATTTTCCACACTGCTCCTTTTAGCCAAGTCCAGGGCAATTTGTTTTGCTACAGGTCTCTGAGCCTAGCCAATGCACAATTGCACGGCCACTTATTTATTTTTCTACCCACTGTTATGTCACCTTTCACTTTTGTGTGTGTTTTTTTCCTCACTAGGATGGAGGGTGTGGGTCCTCGAGCCTGCCCTGAAGTCTAGGGGGGAGGATGTGTGGGCACTAGGTTCCTTTCTTCCTTTCTCCCCTGTTCCTGGGGGTGGGGGGGGGGGGGGGTCTCTCTTCAGGAAAGCTCCCTAACCTAGTACTCGGCTTTGGCTAGCCACAAGGAAAGGGGTCCGCCAGGCCTTTTGGCTAGGTGGATCACGTGGAAACCTTTGTCCCCGTCAGGAGCCTTGCGCCCCAGGGGATCAGGGTAGAGGACTAAGGCACAACCCTAAGTGCACTTTTTGGTGTTTGTGTTTTGCGCTTGCACGTTTTTTTGTTCACTTGCGGGTTGTTTTTTTTTCGCACCTTTGTGGACTTTGAAAAAAAAAAAAAAAAAAAAAAAAAAGACAGGTCTGCAAGAGACCTGAATGGCACCAGTGATCTACTTAATGCTGGTACGATGCTTTCCAGGCTACTGCAACAAAAAATGAAAATGTGCATTTATTAATTTTTGACAAAAGGTGAACTTATCCTTTTAAGCGTTAATAAAAGGCAGAATTTTTTTTTTTTAATTTAAAAGAAAAAAAAAAAAACCAAAACAAAACACAGAGCCAATGGCTCTTGCTGCTGTTTTAGTCCTTGTGTGAAGAGGAAGTGAGGGGAGAGAGATGCAGCCATCCACAGCTCTGATCTCTTCTCCCCTCTTCCCCTTCACACAGGGAAGGGAGAGCACATGGAATTTAAAAATTTTTTTTTACCTTCACGCAATTAATGTATGAACATAAAAAAACATTTTTAGGGTTAGTATCTCTTTGATAATAAAAAAAAAAATTTAGCAAGAAAATAAAAGTTAATTAAGGCTGTTTAGAGTAAACTAAGGGTTAGCAAGGGTTTTTGTTTTAAAGGAACATTTACTACTAAAAAAAAAAAAAAAAAGTATTTTTTTAATTTACTTATCAGGTTGCTTTAACTGACTTAATCTGCAAATTGAAGTTTGATCACTTTGATCTGAACATGAACAGAAAAATACAAACTGAAACATAGTTTCTTTGTTTGATTCTGTATTCACATTGAGCAATGTTGTTGCTAAACATTCCCACACTGCTTTTCTTTGACAGCTCCAGCTGTCAAAACCTTCTCTGTATACTGGCAATGCAACTTTGACTAATCAGGGTTGAATTGCACAGTACTGGGACAGGGGAGGTACTATTAGCAGGGCAGAAGGACTTGACATGTTAGGCTCAGTTCACACTACTGCTTACATACTGGGCGACTTTCTCAGGTGACTTTCTGGCGACTTGATGCCTGATTGCATGCCATGCATCTTAGCCTGGGTAATCTTCCTGTTATGTCGGATCCTAATCACATCAATATAAATGAGGAGATGACTTCCGTTAAAGTCTATGGGAACAGGTTGGATAGAAGTCGCTTTGAAGTAGTACAGGAACCTTTTCAAACGTCGGAGCGACTACAGTAGTGCAAATTAAGACAGCTCTCATTGACTAAACATGGGATTTCACATGTCATGCGACTTGGGGTCTTCCAAGTAGCAGCAGTGTGAACCGAGTCCTACACATGCCCTGTGTATAATGACTTTTTTTGGGTGTGCCCAACACACCCAGAGTCTGCAACTGGTTAACTTAACCCTCCTCAGCAACACATATTTGTCTTCTTTCCAGCTATGGAGCAGCATGGGACCCAACCCAGTCACAAGCTTCTCCATAGCTGGAAGCACAAGGTATTTACTTCCATTCTCTGAAAAAGCTTAGTATGGGGAGAGGTGGGGTCAGCTACGGTATCCCCCACCTCACTCCACTAATTAAAGTGGTTCCTGATCACGTGACCCCCATGTCAGCTATGACAGTGATTAAATAAATGCTTCACTAAAAAGATTAACAAAGTAAAAAAAAAAAAAAAAAAAAAAAAAAAAAAAAAACCCTTTTAAACCATATTTGATGATTTTTATATAAATATATAACAGCATAAGGGAGTTCGGATTTAAAAGTCCCAACAAAAAGGATATTCTCTGAATTGGTGAATTTGTGCTTTAATGTGGTCCTCACAAATCTGTCGCAATTGTTTGTAGAGGTTTGCAGAGATCTTATAAGAGCAAAGGTTCTCAACAGCCTGAAATAAATAATAAACATCAATAGCACAAGCTACATTGACCTAAATAAAATAATAATAATAATAATAAAAAATAACCAAAAAAAAACAAAACACAACTTTGTATTAAAGAGACACTTTCATCTTGCCCATTCAGGGCAAAGATCACAGTGCCTTTGCGAATGGGGCTCCTTTCCAGCTCTGCCCTGTTGCTCTTTCTGCACTGCATCCAGCAGTACAGTCCACAAGTATCCAGGAACACCAAACATATATGGAAGAACTGTGACAATTCTTTAAATACAAATCTTAGTGTTACTAAACCCAGGACCCTGCATTCACTATATCGGGTCTCCTACAGTACACATAACATGTAAATGCAATTATTTTAGTAAATATAACCTGCAAAATACTGTTTCTCATCAGCAGTAAATCGTAATCTTGTGACTTCTACTAGTGTGCAGCTGAGCACTAGTTAAAGCTTGTGGGAAGAGTTCATTTTCCTCTGACTGTCCTGTGAGTCTGCATGACCCATGACCCTCTGTCTGGACAGGGCTGATTGGCCCTTTGCTAATCACTAAACTGAGCATGTACAGAGTGCCTCCTAGGGCTCTGTACCATCAGCAAACAAATAGGGGACTTAAGAAGAAAGGGAAGATGCGAGAAGACAGGATCAAACAGCCTTTTTACACCATGCAGAGGATAAACCCCTTAGGTTCCACAGCGAGTATAACAAGCATATTTTACTGCATATACAGACTGATTTTACTGTTGTGGGTTTAGTAAGACAAAAGATTGTCTCTTTAAGAGTCCAATCACAGGGTAACATATATGGTAGTGCTTGAAGGAAACCTGTGAAATACACAGGCTGCCACGGCTTTTGTGATCCTGAAATAACGTGTTCAGGAGGTGTAATGTTGTTCTAATAGCTGCAATTGTTTCCAAACCAATGCCATGAAACAGGCATGCTGCAATTCAAATCAGAACTCCCATTTGTAAATGGAAGAAAATTAGGGAGTTTCTACTATTCCAGTCTGACAATCTTTAAATTCACATGTCCTGAAATCACTGTGAACATGCTGTGTTTAACCAGAAAAAAATTACTATTCCGGTCCTAAGCTTAAGACATAGGCTTTGGAGGGCAATTAATGTGGATGGCTCAGTATGCACACTACATTTTAAAAGGATGTAAAAATACCACAGGATATAAACAACACCTGGCAAGTAAGAACACTTGTCAGCATCTGAAGTCTGTACCTCTATTTTTAAAATATGAAAGGGATGAACACATTTTTTTCCCCATAAAGCACTGATCCTACTTTATTCTACAAGTGAAGGCACCACAGCATACCACAGACAGAATACAGCCATTTAAAGCAGCGTTCCACTCAAAAGTGGAAGCTCCGCTTCTTTACCGCTTCCCCCTCCACCGCCATTTGGGGGGGGGGGGGGGGGAAGTACACCTGTCTGACAGGTACCCGCTCCCACTTCCGGGTCAGTTCACCACGGCAAATTGAGTCGGAAGTTCGGCCCCATGCTCCCTCCAGCAGTCTCCTGGTCCCTTTCACAGGTCCCAGGAGACGAACAGACTAATCAGGAGGCACAGCACGACTCGCGCATGCACAGTGGGCACCAGGCTGTGAAGCCGCAAGCAGTCACACCTTGGTGCCCACAGTTGAGATGCCGGAGAGAAGGGACCACATGGGTGAGAACATCACTGGACCCTGGGACAGGTAAGTGTGTGTTTATTAAAAGTCAGTAGCCACAGTTTTTGTAGCTGCTGACTTTTAATAAACACTAAAAATGGCTGGAACTCCACTTTATGGACAACCAACCTATACTCACAAGATTTGTTAAACTCACCTGATATAATTCCTCCAAGTTGTATTTTATTGAAGTGCTATTTTGAATGGCTTCAACAGCTTCTTTCAGTTTTTGCCAGGTTTCATCGGTGTAATTTTCAGGCAATTTTGGTTTATCTGCGAACATAAACAAAATTAACCAGGTCTACGTAACCCTCTAATAAATTAAACAGTGCAGTATAGGGCTAGGTTAACATTAGTGCATCTGCAACTTGACCTAATTTTTAGTGAGATTTTGTAGTGTGGCATTACGGTTTTTATTTTAACACAAAAGTCTATAGGGCCATAATCGAGTTGCAACCGTGCCAAAGAAGCAAATGTACCTTTTCCAAAAACACACTGTGCTGCATTGATGTGAATAGATGTCATATACATAACACAACTTCCATTGTTGTGCAATTCTGTGTGACTGAAATTGCATCTGAAATCATACTAGTGTGAACAAGGCCTAATAGATTTAAAGATACCACATGGAGCAATAATGTGCAGAATGGCTTTGACACAAGAGGGCTGTTATTATGCACAGGGCTTCATCCAGGAATAAGAGTTTATAAAAGGGACCCAACCTCGACATGCTTAGATGTGGCCACACACATTTCAACCTGTTTGTACAAACTCTTCAAATTTCCCCTAAGGATTAGGTATGCAGCATAAAGGCCTATCTAACTATTTATATAAATAGTAGACAGGTATTTACACTATGTGGTGTGAAGATGCCGCACTGACAGCCCAAAGTGCAGTGTAAGTGGAAGACGGCCTCAGCTTCAGCTCCCCCCAAAGCCGTGCCGCCTGATGTGTTTAACAACGCTCCCAGAGCTTATTCAGAAATGGGATCATGGAGCAATGTATGAGCATTTATGCATCATTAGCAGCTTTATAACCTAAACATGTGACATACAAAAATCAAACTGAGAAAATAGCTGGGTGCCCATATTGTAATTAATTTAACATTGCAATCAAGCAAAAAGAGGCATGTTTGACACGTATAAACATGACAAACAACAAACTCATAAGAGCTGTTGAAAAGATTGCCGCTGCAAGATGTTATATATAATCACGTTTGGTACCAGAAAAAAGAAAAATGGATCCAAAATGTCTGTACCTTAAGAGGAAACACATTACTTTAAAAAAAAAGAAAAAGAAAAAATCTTTTAAAAAAAGGGAAAAAAAAAAAAAAAGGTAAATCCAGCAGGTGAAAATAGTGACACAGAGACTCCAGCAGGGGATTGACCAGAGACTGCGGACACAGTGCAGGGGGTTGACCAGAGACTGCGGACACAGTGCAGGGGGTTGACCAGAGACTGCGGACACAGTGCAGGGGGTTGACCAGAGACTGCGGACACAGTGTGCAGGGGGTTGACCAGAGACTGCGGACACAGTGCAGGGGGTTGACCAGAGACTGCGGACACAGTGCAGGGGGTTGACCAGAGACTGCGGACACAGTGCGGACACAGTGCAGGGGGTTGACCAGTAGGACTGCGGACACAGTGCAGGGGGTTGACCAGAGACTGCGGACACAGTGCAGGGGTGACCAGAGACTGCGGACACAGTGCAGGGGATTGACCAGAGACTGCGGACACAGTGCAGGGGATTGACCAGAGACTGCGGACACAGTGCAGGGGATTGACCAGAGACTGCGGACACAGTGCAGGGGATTGACCAGAGACTGCGGACACAGTGCAGGGGATTGACCAGAGACTGCGGACACAGTGCAGGGGATTGACCAGAGACTGCGGACACAGTGCAGGGGATTGACCAGAGACTGCGGACACAGTGCAGGGGACATGACCAGAGACTGCGGACACAGTGCAGGGGAATGACCAGAGACTGCGGACACAGTGCAGGGGAATGACCAGAGACTGCGGACACAGTGCAGGGGAATGACCAGAGACTGCGGACACAGTGCAGGGGAATGACCAGAGACTGCGGACACAGTGCAGGGGAATGACCAGAGACTGCGGACACAGTGCAGGGGAATGACCAGAGACTGCGGACACAGTGCAGGGGAATGACCAGAGACTGCGGACACAGTGCAGGGAATGACCAGAGACTGCGGACACAGTGCAGGGAATGACCAGAGACTGCGGACACAGTGCAGGGAATGACCAGAGACTGCGGACACAGTGCAGGGAATGACCAGAGACTGCGGACACAGTGCAGGGAATGACCAGAGACTGCGGACACAGTGCAGGGAATGACCAGAGACTGCGGACACAGTGCAGGGAATGACCAGAGACTGCGGACACAGTGCAGAATGACTGCTGCGGACACAGTGCAGGGAATGACCAGAGACTGCGGACACAGTGCAGGGAATGACCAGAGACTGCGGACACAGTGCAGTGCAGGCGGACACAGTGACCAGAGACTGCGGACACAGTGCAGGGAATGACCAGAGACTGCGGACACAGTGCAGGGAATGACCAGAGACTGCGGACTGCAGGGAATGACCAGAGACTGCAGACAGTGCAGGGAATGACCAGAGACTGCGGACACAGTGCAGGGAATGACCAGAGACTGCGGACACAGTGCAGGGAATGACCAGAGACTGCAGACAGTGCAGGGAATGACCAGAGACTGCAGACAGTGCAGGGGAATGACCAGAGACTGCTGACCTTTAGGGAGGGAGGGGGAGCAGGTACCTGAATTTGACAGGTACCCGCTCCCACTTCTGCGGAGTTGTCCTTCCCTCTTCTTCCCGCGCCGGCTTCTGTGACAGCCGGGTGTCCACTGCGCATGTGCTGCGCTTTGTGAATGGCCCGGCGCCTTCTGGGACCTGTCATGTGTCCCAGAAGACAGCGGATCATTCACAAAGCCCAGTACATGCGCAGTGGACACCCGGCTGTCACAGAAGCCAGCGCGGGAAGACTGTGCAGCGCTGGAGCGAGGAACAGGTAAGGACCTGCAGGAGAGAACAGCTGAGCGGCCGGCCCGGTATTCTGACATGGTGGCGGCAGAAATACCGGACCGGCCGCTTTATATTCGCTCCATAAGACGCACTGACATTTTCCCCCCTTTTTTGGGGGGAAAAAAGTGCGTCTTATGGAGCGAAAAATACGGTATATTAAACCGACTTGTACATACCCTTCAATAATCACCAAATGGTGGTTATGAGTGGGCTCTTTCAGAAAAGGCTGGACAACCAATCTGAAATGTTACTTTCCAAACTACATTATTGACTTTGCTAGAGTGCTAGGCACAAGTAGGAAGACAGCAAGGAGCCTTCCACAAAATACACTCGTCCATGTTTTTATTAGGTACACCTGTACAGTTGCTTGGTAACACAAATTGCTAATCAGCCAATCGCACGGCAGTAACTCAATGCAATTAGGCATCTAGACGTGGTGAAGACTACTTGCTGAAGTTCAAACTAAGAATCAGAATGGGTCAGAAAGGGGATTTAAGTAACTTTGAATGTGGCATGGTTGTTGGTACCAGATGGGCTGGTCTGAGCATTTCAAAAACTGCTGATCTACTGGGATTTTCACGCACAACCATCTCTAGAGTTTACAGAGAATGGGCCGAAAAAGAGAAAAATATCCAGTGAGCGGCAGTTGTGTGGGCGAAAATGCCTTGTTGCTGTCATAGGAGAATGGGCAGACTGGTTCCAGTTGAGAGAAAGGCAACATTAACTCATATCAATATGGACCAAGATCTCTGAGGAATGTTTGCAACACCTTGTTGAATCTCTGCCACAAAGAATTAAGGCAGTTCTGCAGGCAAAAGGGGGTCAAACCCGGTATTATCAAGGTGTACCTAATAAAGTGGCCAGTGAGTGTATATGGAAGAACATCTCTCAAATGCGAGGCAGAATTTTCATTTTAATTTCTCCCAGTTTTGACTCGTATCTTGTGTGTATGTCCAGGGGGAAAAAAAAAAAAAAAAAAAAAAAAAAAAAAACTTTCAATGCTTTCCTCAAACACATCCAAATTTTTCTATATTTTGTCACTTTGAAAACACAGAATCTGTTGATCTGCCAGTAGGGATCCCATCTTCCTGTTTGAGGAGACTGCACTGTCCAGTTCTCTGTAAAGGAGGTTTTAAAAGGAGAAGTATGATCAAAGCTTTTTTGGCCATACTTCTCATGTGGGTCAAAGGACTAATTTTTGCACTCCTGTGACCCAGATTAAGCCAACAGCATGCTAAATCCCACAGTTGCAGGACATCACAGAACCGGGTCCAGGCTCTGCAAGAACCCGTTGACATCCACCCAGATGGCCAACCGGCAGTTGGCTCAGCCTCTCAGAGTGCCAATGAGAGCTTGAAGTGATACTAAAGGCTTAAATTAAAAAAAAAAAAAAAAAAAAAAAACCCCCACACACGCCTTTATCTGCTGTGTGCTGAGATTTTGCACTGAGCAGTCCGGATCCTCCTCTCGGGTCCAACGTTGGTGCTCCTGGCCTTTCCCACCTGTCAGGGGCACCCAAGTATGCACATTCCCCAGCAGCTGCTCCATGTGTCCATTCACACACACAGCCACGGCTAAACGTCCCGCCCTCTCTTTTCTCATTGGCTTACTGTTGTCTCAACTGATGGAGAGGGAGTTCAGAGATAGCTGAGACTCCAGTGCAGATCACTGGACTAAGACCAAGCTTAGGAGGAGTATTAGGGGGGCTGCTGCACAGAGAAGGTTTTTTACCTTCATGCATAGAATACATGAAGGTAAAATACCTTGAGCTTTTACAATCACTTTAAGACTGCTGTTCCTGCCCCCTCCACCCCACTAACAGCCACCACTCTCTGCTCAGTGAAAACGAACAGCTATTTCAGCAGTTACTTGATTGCTCAGTTCCCGGTCTTAGAGCTAGCAGGAAACCACTTCAGCAACATAGGTGAGGATTTAATTTTTTTTTTTTTTGTTTCTTTTTAACCCTACACTTCTCTTGTAAGAGCTCACTGGATTTCTGTCAGGAACATTTTACTGTGTTTGCAAAAAAGGGTCAAACATGAGGAAACATGCATGAGTTGGCAAAGCTGTACTACTTGTTGGTTTTTTTTTTTGATGGAGACATTTTAGCTTTTTGATGCCTATTTATATAAATTAAAACAAGTACTTAAATAATTGATAGATGTATCTTGTGGGTTGTGTCATTCTGCAGCACTAATTTATAGAACTCTGT